CCCTGCCCGCTCTCAGCTCACCTGCACGGGTCATTGGGCTCATAGCTCGTCAGCACCTCCATCACCACGGCAGCCACTTCCTTGTCGTTGGTGACATCCCAGAGCCCATCGGTACCCAGGACCAGAACATCATCGGGGCAGTGCTCATATTGCGTGAGGTCGTAAACCCTGACCTGGCAAGCAATGGGGCAAGACGCGAGGGTGAGGGGCAGAGGTGGCTCCCGGAGAGCCCAGGCAAGCGCTGGCACTGCCCCAAGCTGCTGCGCGGGGCGCACCAGGGATCCGGTCACCCCCACCGTCTCTGGCCATCACAGGAACCCCTGGGTGCAGAGCAGCCGGCAGCCGGGCTCACCTCTGGGAAGCAGGATAGGAAAGGCTTGATGTGGATGTTGGAGCTGAACACCTTGAGGTCGTGGTCTCCCAGGCCCCGTGTGACCCCAATCGTGGCCATCACCCGAGCCTGGGGAACGACAAAAGCAAAAGAAAACTTTGAGCCACTTCACCTCCATTCCCAGCTGAGAACTGGTGGCATTGGAGGAGCAACAGCACGAGCAAAGACGGGCTGGAAGCCCCCGATTTAGCAAGGGCAGGCAGGAAGCGACCCCCGCACGGCTCCTGCCACAGCACTTCACCTTTTTGCCTTCCCCATAGATAAGTGGAAACTTCAGGTCATTCTCTTCTATCTTTTTGTAAGCCCTGGTTAAAACAAGCCAGAGACGACGTGTCAGCAGGTGAAGGCTTCCAGCACCTCCCCTGCCCGCTCGGGACACAGCGCCCCGCAGGACGAGGTCCCTTCGAGACACAGGTTCCCAGCGCCCGTGGGACCCCGGCGCCGCCGCTCAGCACGGAGCCTCCCGTGGGGCAGGGGGTTACCAGCCATTCATGTTTTGGTCTCTGTACAGCATCTTCTTCCCCAGCTCCTTGGGCTGGATCCTGCGGGGGAACTCAAGGTGGGTGAACTCCTTCCCCAGCAGCTCGGGCCTCAGGAACGCCTGCGGGACGAAGCGGTGGCTCAGCCGCGGGGCTGGGAGAGCGGGATCCACACGGGCCCTGGGCTGCTGCGGTGGGGATAACATCAACTGCTCTGCTGCAGCTAGAACGGGCGGTGGTAAAGCAGCTTTGAACCACACGTCCGTGCTATGCCCAGGGAGGAGGTGAGCTGGGGACAGCCAGGCCAGCACCCAGCAAGAAGGTGAAGCTTTCGCATGGAGAGTTTTGGGAAATCAGGATCTCCAAAAGGGATCAAAACCCAGCAAATTCCAGGAGAAGCTGGAATTTGCCTAGGAGGAGTCAGAGCCGCAAGCCTCCCAGGACTCCAGACTCAGCACAGGGCACAGCCCTCGCCCGAGGAAAAGAGCCCAGGGTCTTTCCAGAAACCATGTCCTGGCCATGACGGAGGACGAGCAGCAGCACAGAGCCCCTTCCCGGGGCAGCACAGCACCCAGGGCCCCCTGGAGCACAGCGTGCAGGGGGCTGGGAACAGGGACAGCGTGGGCAAATGCAGATGGGAGGAAGGAAGAGGTGAAAGAGAGGTGGAGAGCCCTCGGGGACACGGCTTGGTGCAGAGGCTGGGACAGCCCCGTCCTGCTCTGGGGGGGTCCTGACCGTGGCCTGGGCACCGTGCAGTGGAGTGTGCGCCCAGCCCCCTGCCTGCGCCCGGCCCATCGCAGCCAGCCAGAGAGGATCCCGCTCACAGCAGTTTCCTCCTCTCAGTCATTCAAAAATAGATTCAAGAAAAAAAATGCCTCCGTGTTTTTCCAAGTACGTTGCAAGCCAGGAAATCGCATCCAACAAGACCTCCTCCAACACAAACGCCGCCTCCTCCTCCCTGCTGCCGTCACTTTCAGGAAGAAAGCTAGGAACCCGCTGGCACACGTCAGCTCCCCGCTCCCCAGGGAGCAGCCAGGGAAGAAACTAGGACGGCGCAAGCACTGCGGCTCCTTCGACCGTGCGAGGGGGCACGATGGGGGGGAGCAGAGCCACGCTCCTCCCGGCCACTGCACGGGCCAGCCCAGTGCTCCCGCAGCAGCGGCAGGCGAGTGCCCACCCTGGGCAGGCGATGCTCCCCGTTCCCCCAGCAGGAGCAGGGCAAGAGGGACCAAACCGGCTCCATGCAACTGCACCGAACCAGCCCCATGCCGAGAGCCCAGGATCCCAGGTCCCGGCCAGGCCAGGCTCACGGGCACAGCCCCTCACGCTGACCCCACAGCAAACCAGGGCTCCACCAGCCACGAGATGCCCCCACACCAGTGAGCCAGGGCCGCTCCCCGAGCCCCAGCGCCTCTCCCCAGCCCAGTGAGCTGGCTGGGATGGACAAGGGCCATCAGCAGGTCCCGGGGGTGGGGGTG